CTTCCTTCCGAGGAGTGGCTGGTGGGTTTGAACCACCAGCCGTCTGGTTAGCAGGCAAGTGTCTTAGCCACTATGCTACCAGAGCTCCTTGGAAATCCAAAGAGAGGTCACTATGAGTTGGATCCGACTCAACGACAGTGAGTTTCATTGTTTTTTTGGGGGGAGGGGATAGCTTTTAGCCTAGAAATAAATAGGATAATTATTATATGTGCGGTTACATAGATAGATATGTATGCATAGATATATGATTAAAACCCACTGCATTGAGTCAATTATCACTCATAGTAGCCCTATATGTCAGAATAGAACTGCCTCATAGAGGACCACTACCAATTATCCTTACCAGGTCCTGGATACAATAGGAGAAAAATGTAGAGCAAAACCAAATTCCTTTAAAAAAAAAAAAAAAAAAGCCCAGACTTACTGGTAGAGACCAGAGGAACCCCTCAGACTATCTCCCTAGGTTTCCCTTTAAACTTCGAATTCAAACCATTTCCAGCAGTTACCTTTCAGCAAAATGGCAGCTTGGCTCATAAAATAAATAATATCACCCATGAGTACTGCTCTTCTTTAAATAATCTAAATGAAACGTAATGGTAAATATTATCCTGGACCAAAGAAGAGAATGTAAGGGAAGACAGGGAAGCTAGATTAATGGAAACAGAATGAGAATGGAGATAATGAAAATGCTGACACATTGTGAATAATGTAACTAATGTCACTAAACAACATGTGTAGAAATTGTTTAGTGAGAACCTCATTTACTATGTAAACTTTCACCAAAACTCAATAAAATGTTTTTAAAAGAGTAATTATCCATTATAATATTATGATTTTAAAATTATTTACCCATTTAAGTATTTGAAAACTATACTTGAAAGAGTATTTATTTATTTAATTAATTTTTAGAAAAATTGAGATTTTTGTTAAATATATCATTGATCAGTCAGCCTACAGAACTATATTTAAATAATATATTTTTGTGTTTTCTCAGTTTACACAAATCTTTATCCCAAGAAGAAAATCTAAAGGATCAGTTTAACCATACCCTTAGTACCTATGAAGAAGCTTTAAAAACCAGAGAGAACATTGTTTCCGTCACTCAGCAACAAAACGAGGAACTGGCTACCCAGCTGCAGCGCGCTCTGACAGAACGAGCCGACATGGAAGCACAGCTTCGGCACGCCGTGGAGGCCTCCAGAGTGGCTAGTGAGAAGGTTCAGAGGTAAGGAAAATGACCTTGCATTACTTCAAAAGGATAAAATGAAACAAAACAAAAACCTCTTTTGATAACCAAACAATGCAGTATTTATTCTGTGCTGGTGATAGTTTAAGACAAAAGTAGAGTGGACAAAATGCACTTCTTAGATTGTATATCATATCCATTCTTCAAGTCGAACTTTTTTTCTTGAAAATCATTATTACTGTTTAAGGCAAACCATTTTATTTAATAACTAATCTTCATCAGTTAAAGAAGGCCGTACTATTTAAAAATAATTTTGCTTTCCCCCATACCCAATTTAATAGGAAAAGTTATTAGCAAGGTTAATTACAAAGCCAGTCAATTTACCGTTTGTACTCACTTAGCTTCATAACGATCCAGCCTGAATTGAGATCATCTGTGACCTGCACTCTGAGAGCTATAGTTGCACAGAGTAAAGTACAGTGAAATTATTTTTTTCATATTGTTCTGAAGTATTCAATACCCCTTTTTGCAGTGCATGTATATTTGTTTATTTTGAATGATCTGTGCATCTGTATTACAATTTAAATAAAACTGCATAATCAGTCAGCCTTATGACAGCTAAAAGAATGTTAACAAGTAACTTGCGAGACAAAGATGTCATTTGATAATTTATGGGACTTGAACATTATAGTAGAATTTTCTGTGGTGGCTTTAGTGTTGTAGAACTTGTCCTTTTACCTGAACCTTTCTTTGTGTATTGTTAATAGCACTACATCATTCATGATACTTTATCACCTTAAATTTCCAAGACATACCTTTTTCTTCAGTGATTTCTTTTTTCAGTTTTACAGTGCGAGGTAGTGTTGATGTCATGGTTTCTTAGTTCTCACTATTTCTTTTTTTGAAAATTAGTTATCCCAACCATTTTCCCAACATTCTTGAAACTGTATTTTGATTAATAACCAAAGCTCAGTCAAATCTTTAGTCCAAGAAGGTGGCAAAATAGGTAGACAAGCTACACAGACCCTCTTCTACAAAGAAAAGAGAAACAATTGACACAGATACAAAAGATAATCCTGGAGCCCTGAGCTATGAAGGGAAGGATATTGAAGTGGAATAAACACTAACTAGAAGAACCTGTTTCTTTGCTATTCATAAGGTTTTCCCTGGCCAATTCTTTCAGAAGTGGACGGCCTCTTCCTTCTTCCTAGTCTGTCTCAGTCTATAA